CCGAAAACATAAAAATCGGGAGATCCCCTGGCCCAGATGGTGTGCCACCAGAAGCCATACATATTATGGTACAGGAAAATCCTGAAGTCACCAGAAAGGTATTAAATGAGCTCCTACACAACCAAGAATTCCCAGACCAATTGAAGATTGCAAATTTAGTCTTAATCTTAAAACCTGGTAAACCACCAGACGGGCCTAGTTCATACAGGCCTATATGTTTATTAGATTGTATTGGGAAATTCTATGAAAGCCTCATAAAACGCCGCCTTGAACAGGAGCTCTTAAACACAGGAGCTATTTCTGACCAGCAATACGGTTTTAGAAAAACACGATCAGCTATAGACGCGGTAAAATTTATATGTGATACAGTCAAACAAACAAGAAATAAATGGGCAATTCTTGTTATGTTCGATGTAAAGAATGCCTTCAATTCTGCCAATTGGGCATACATCATAAGGAAACTGGAAACCGCTGGAGTGTCAGACTACCTAATAAATATAATTAAAAATTACCTCACCGACAGATATATTAAAGTGTCAAACAAAGAAAAAACAAAACTATCGGCTGGAGTACCGCAGGGATCTGTATTAGGTCCAACGTTGTGGAACGTCTTGTATAACACAGTATTGGAAATAGATTACGGCAGAGGTGCGTCAGCAATTGCATATGCAGATGACTTAGCAATACTAATAGAGGGTGACACAAACTTGGATGCAATAAATAAAGTTAATATATGCTGGAGAAAAGTTAATAGGTGGATGACAACTAACGACTTACAGCTGGCGTGTAATAAAACAGAGATAATTATATTAAAAGGGCCTAGAGCGATACCCAACCTGACTTTCCAATTTGCAAGTACGACGATAGTCCCAACCAATTGTGCTAAATATCTAGGCATACACCTTGATACAGGTCTACGATTTACCAAACACCTGATAAATGTAGTCCAAGCAGCAGAACGCAGAACAGCGGCCATTATGAAAATAATGCCTAATATAGGAGGGCCAAGTAATTATAAAAGAAGAATGTACTTGCAAATAGTGCATTCGACCCTTTTGTACGGTGCCCCTGTATGGATTGAAGTCTTAAGGTTTGCCAGGTACAAAGACTTGATTACAAAAGCTCAAAGAAAGCCCCTTCTTAAAGTAGTTAGTGCGTACCGGACTACATCTACGATAGCCTTACAGGTGATTGCTGGTACACTCCCCATTCACCTCCTAGCGAAAGAAAGAGCCATCCTATACAATAACGGCAACGGCCACCTGACACAGGTAAGAGACGAAATTAGGAACCAGATCCTTGATGAATGGCAATCTGAATGGGAGGCACAAAGGGAAAAAGCACAATGGACTAAAATACTAATACCCGATGTAAAAGCATGGTACAAATGTAGGTTCAAGAGAATAAACTATTTCTTTGCACAATTCCTGACCGGACACGGTTCTTTTAGGTCGTATACATACAGAATTAAAAAAACAAATGACGATATCTGTATGGATTGTGGTGTGACTGATGACGCGGAACATTGCATTTTCGAATGCAATGTCTTTCTACAAGAACGTCAAAGACTGAGAATTAAGCTAGGAGAGGTCACGCCCAATAATATACTGGACTTAGCTATGCAGAACAGAAAGAACTATGATTATGTGTTAGAAATAATAACGGAAATCATAAAAAAAAAGGAGACGCTAGAAAGAGCGAGACAGGATGAAGGAATAGGCTGAAAGACTAATAAAATAATTGTAATTCGCGTTTTTTTTTGCTCATTAGACACATACTTCAGCGTTCTGTACTAATTTTATAGTGTAACTGTCCTATTTACTTACTTATATTGTTTTTTATACTGTCATTATGTCACTCAGCTACCTTTGAGACTCTCTACCGAGGACAATACTAGGTTTTCGTGAAAATTGAAGACCGCGGTGGTGCTCCCGAAGTTGCATTCGCCAAGAAAAGTTCCGGGTGCGCTGCTGGAAGAGAGGGTGAGTTTAGTTGGTAGGCGCCTGAACTAACCTTATCAACATTCCAACGTTATAGTTCAGACGAATCCAACAGTATCTGGGTCCTCTTCCCAGATCTCTTTAGAAGATTCTCATCCAAAAAAAAAAAAAAAAAAAAGGTCGAATACTTCTATACGCAAGTTCGCAGGATGCATAGTTTTTAAAAAATGTATGAGTAAGCATCTGCGCTTTAAATGGAGCTGGTTTTATCCGCGCTTCTTCAGTACATGTTATGTAATCGTGTGGAAGAAAAATTTTACGATTTTTAAGTTTCATCTCTATTAGATGATGCACACTATCACACTCCATCTGGGTGTGACCTTTCTCAAGATATTTCTGAATAATAATTTGGCCACTTTTTATAGAGAGATTTAGAAGCGTGTTGGAAAGTGTAGAGTTTCTGTTCTGGTAACAGCACCCATCAGACCAGAGAATAACAGGTAATTTTCGGTCATTACAGTTTTGTTCAATATGGTGTATAATGATGCAAGCAAAAGTAGATGCACACAGATCTCCTTCTGTTTCATCCATCAATAATTAGAGGCTTCATGATTTTTTAAGTTATACATAGTGAAGTTGTGAACTGTTAGTTTCTTTTTATTATATATGGCACTTGCGTTCAAGACGGGGCAGCTTTTTACAGCTTGAAGGTCCATTGTAAAAGTGTAATTTTTGTGGTTGATAGCATCTTCTTTATCTTTGGCTTTCTCCTCCCTTGCTAGATTTTTTCTTTCTATGTGTGATGCGTAAGCAAACTGGTCGATATTCTTAACTTCAAATGCTCTACAGGTATCACACCAGTCTTTTTTTGGCTGGTACAAACTTAGGTTTAAGTCGCAAAATATTTGGTCAAAAATAGCATACGATAATTTTTCCAGACTGTTATTATCACAGTGCTTTAAGTAAATACTCTCTATATAATTGAGCTTTGGTCTGAAAAATTGTCTCTAAATATTTTTTCTTTGTGTCCTTGCGACAATAATGAGAGGCCATCTTTGGTAGCATGTTGAACCAATCAACCAGACAATTTCTTTTTCCTTTATTAAAATTATTTGATCTTCTTTGATCCGCACTTGTGTTTGAGTTTTCTTCTCTTATACAAATAAGCCCATGCTCTGTCTTTTTGAACCAATCATGAACCATGTCTTCTTTTAAATCGAACGTATTTAAGAACATTTTCTTGCAGACTCTCTTTTTTTCATTAGTTTTGTTTCTTAAATAATAGTAATAGGTTCCACTTCTTCTTGATGGTTCTTTACCTTTCGATGACCTTTTCGTTTTTGTGTATTCCATGTTACCCGTTATGTATGCCTTCTTTTCTTGCCAGTCCATTTTGCCCCAAAAAGTTCGGAACATAAGATTCCTCTCTTCCTCCGAGAAGGACCCACAGAAATGCTTTGTAGACTTCGTACATGCTAAAGATACACACCTGTCTCTTATCTTTCTCTCTGGTCGCTTTATTCCGTAGGATACTTTATGATCCTTATTTCTTTGGAAACCAGCGTATTCCACTCCATGCATTCTTCTAGATTTTGTTGCCTGCCTGTTCCAGTTTTCCACATCTGCCTTCCGCTTTCTGCGTCTTATTCTATTTTCTTCATTTAGTTTATTTTCATGTGACCTCCTCGAACTGTCTGTTTTCTCTTTATTATTAGCAGTTTTATCTGAACATTCGGGATCTTCTTCAAGGATATAGTCATCGTCGTTTTGATTGGAATCCTCAGAGGTGATGCTTGAACCGGGTTTAAGGTGCAAATTGCCTATTTCCAATAAAGCAGTTTGCTTGAAATAAGTATCTGGATTAGTATTTTCTGTTACTTTATCAGTTTCTACAAGGTGCTCATGTGTATCTTTACAGAGGACTTCATCTTCAAATATTTGCTGTTGAATTTTACTCTGTTCTAAATATGCAAAACTTGAAGTAGTGTTTTCTGTTCTTTCATCAGTTTTCACAAGATACTCATGTGCGACTTCACCAAGGACTTCATCTTGAAATATTGGCTGTTGAAAGTTGCTGAGCAAAATGGAGTTATTTTCAGTATCATGCCAGTGAGTAGTATCTCGAAAATCTCCTTCTATCGGTATTAGGGTCCCATCTGTGGCACTTACGTTATAGACTTCACTGAACTCAGTGAATACAGCAGTTTCAGAAACTTTCTTGGTACTGCTAGAAGGCTGTTGATTATTTTCTTTTCGATTTAAAACCATAGACAAAATTCTGTGTGATCGAGTTGCCTGCATCTGAAAAAAATATATAATTAAGATAACTTAATCTTATACAGATTGTAAAAGGTATGAGCACAAATAATTTAATGGATAATAGGGTAAGTCAAAACAAGAAACAAAGTTGATAAAACATAGGGGTAATAAATCTCTTATTTGTACTAATATCTATTACGTCCTGTATACGTAACTGAGGTGTTTATTTTTAAATTTTTCTCATTGTAGACTAGATTCATATTAAAAACAGTCCCTTTAGATTAAATTTTGGTTTAATAAAGTAAAATAACAATCCCGCTACTTTAGCAGGACAAAAGCAGCTTTCGCTTTTTTATTTTTTAATAAACTAATATCAAAGACTTTAAATTTTGATGTCACGCAATGCACAATGTTATAATAATAGCCTGTATCTACTAAAAATTAGTATGCAAACCTGTTCACAACAAGAAGTCAATATCCCGTATCGTAAGGTCTCACAATATTAGACCCTTTTATTAAGTTATAATATCCTAGGTTAATTAAAATTTATAAAAATACCAGTAGAAATATATTTTTAATAAAAATAGTAGTAAAACTTACCTTTGAAATATGATTAATTCACTAAACAGATGAATAAACTCAGACACGTGTAGGTTATCGAAGAATACAATGTAAAAGTGACAGATACGGGGTATTTTTATGTACACGTCTTCTGACGAGCAATACGGGATATTAAATAAAAGCAATTTTCAAGGCTTTCTTATTTTTTGTATGATACAGAGTTTTGACACAACATGCTAGGCAACCCAACAAACCTGATGCAATGAAATTCTCAAAATCTCAAAATTGTCAGATACGGGATATTGCAGTTAGGCCATCGAAAAGCAAAGGGTTGAGTTTATTGAATGAGGGTCTATGTTTTTTCAGTTTTTTGGTACATACTCGGGTAAAAGGTTAAGGATTTTGTAAATCCCGTAATTTGTAATTTTTAGAAAACTGTAAGAACAGTACCTAAGTAAACAATAAATTTTAAAAATATGGAGACAGCCGAAATAGCCACTGAATCTGAAAAACCTAATAGTTTAGAAAGTTATTTTAAAAACATTATAGATGGTAAAAAAATAGAGACTGACACAAATAAACTTAATGAAATACTAGAAAAAAGCATTGATCTAAACCTTATTGGTATGAATCCCAAATTGAAGTTTATTTTACCCTACATGTTGGTTCACTATATAAAAATTTGGCCTGGTTGGAAAAAGGCATCCCAGTATCACCAAAAACGGATATCATTCGAGAATTGGTACGTGAAGTTTAAGGAATACCTTATATACAAAATAAACTTTATGATAAAAAATGACTTTGAGAAATCATTAGCTATGATTCGGTACAATACTTCTTGCCTGTTGGATGAGAGGAAAGTCACTAAATGTGATAATAGTACACAGACTTCTTCTAATGTAGACAAAACTACAGCTCCATTTACAATAGAAATCAGTGGTCCAGCAAAGGTTCTTAATTCTTTGATATTTTGTGAGGGAGTGGAAGGTATGTATTTTCTCACATTACCAGGTCATACTAACAGTTAGATCTTTGTACCTATTGATTCTTTCTCTTGCATATTACTTTTAAATTTAGGACATCATCCAGATTTTTATTTTATTTTTAAGTAATATGGATTCCTGTCTTGGAAGAGTTAAAACATCAAAAACAAAACCATGTAATTTTAATTACAATTCATTGTGATGTATTCCGAATATTTGGGTAGACATTCCCTGAAATATTCAGTTAAAACTCTCCATAAGAAAATAATTACAAAACCACATTAAAAAAACTTATTACACTAATGATATTGAATAATTTTTCTTGTAATATAAAAGCCAAAATTATTTTGTAGACACCATATTTGTCAAAGAGTATACAGTACCTAACGCATGGGGTGATCAGTTAAGTATAAGACAACTTACAAACTGGCCATTTGTTGAAGTGAACTTTCACTCGGAATATCTCCATTTCAAAAGAACCAATAAGCATGACTACATACGATGCCTTACTTTTAATACAGAAAAAATAACTTTTAAGAGAACTGACTCCTTTATTGAAGAAATTAACATAATTGATGAAAATTCTACTAGGCAAGCATATACATTAAATGCTGTTAAAGAATATTGCACTGCATACATTAGTACATTGAAGAAAAGAAATGACATATTGGTAAGTTTCATTTTAATACATTAATAAACATTTGATAGATATATAAATTTAAAAAAGGAATTCTATTGCTATACAAAAAATTTATTTGTAGTGTAACTTAACTATAACTACCCATAAATTTGTTTTGTATTGTACCTCAAAAATTAATTCTTCTAGTCTTGGCTGCAAATAATGTATTGATGAAATTGTCAAAATTGATTAAGGGTGCCGATTTGTGTGCAATTGATAGCCTACTTAAACCAGAGAGTCTCTTCTGTTTCATTGTACTTGTCATGTAGTTTTTAATGATTTTAAAATTGCTAAAACTTCGTTCTCTAGATGACACCGTAACTGTCAGCATGGGAAACATTCTCAGTGCAGTAGTAATGTTAGGGAAGCCTTCCTCTAGTTTATTTTTATAAATAAGATTTAACATTTCTCTTGTTTCAATTAAATTTAGCTCAAACTAATTGTTAAAGCTAAAACTTTTTCTTGAAGACCAATTGTAGTTTTAGGACACTACAACTGATCAACAAACTTTTCAAATTTTGCCACCCCCTGAAATCTGTTGCCCGGGAAATATGCCCCCTCTGCCCTGCCCTAGTTTTGGGCCTGCTTAGACGTATTGTCTGGAAGTATTAAAATGAGGCTGAAATGAAGATAACTCAGACCATGTACTTTTTTCATACATTACAAATATTAATAAACAAACAATGTAATTTGTTATAAACAGTTAAAAAATATTCATAAAAATATTCAATGTTTTGTATTTTGAGAATGATTTCTGAATTGGAAATCGAAACGTCAAATAAAATTAATTTTAAAGTAAAATTGTGGCTTATTCATAACATAACATAACAATATCTTTATTTTTAGAAAATAATATACATTCAGTGAACATAAAATTATTTAAAAAAACAGTGCCACAAACGAAAATATTATTTACTTATTCCTAACCGTTACATATGCAAATAGTCCTCCACAGAATATGGCTCAAGAGCTACCAGTAATTTAAATATTTGATGTTTATACACACTTAATCTTTCCTCCCTTTTAATAGGTTCAGGCAGTTTATTAAACAATTTGATGCAGCAATAAAGAGCGTTTTTTTCTGTTATACTTAACCTATGTATTGGAATTTTATAATTATATAACCTGGTATTTACTATACTATTGGGCTCAAAGTTCCTAAATAGTATATTTTTTTCTGAACCAGAAATACATTATTTATGTCCCTACTGTGTCCAAAATTTATTAGACCATATCTAAATTTTGCTTCAAAATTAGCATGATACACTGTTTTTAATGAGTTACTATTCATGTATTTTTTTAGAACTCTAAAGCTGTAAATCACTTTACTCAAAGACATACATAACTGGTCAACATGTTTATCCCAACATAAAAAACTATCAATATATAATCCTAAAAATTTGGTACTGCTGCTAATATTTAAAGTGTCATTATTTACAATAATACTGTTTGGCATATCTGAATGTGCATAATTTGTCTTAAACAAAAGAAGATCTGTTTTATTTTGATTTAAAACCAACCTATTCATAGAAAACCAGTCTTTAGCTTTCTGGAACTCTAAACTAGCATTAATGCTTAGAACAGACATGTCTTTACCACTGACTAAAATGTTTGTATCATCTGCATAATTTGTTATGCTGGAAGTAGTATTAGCCACTAGACCATGAAGATCATTGATATAGATCACAAACAGTAAAGGACCAATCACACTTCCTTGTGGTACTCCAATATTGATAGTGCTTTCAGATGAGATGCCTATTTCAGTGTTTTTATGTATTTTTACTAAATGTCTCCTATTTGCCAAGTAGGACTTAAACCAGTTCAATGCTGGCCCACGTATACCATATTTCTCCAATTTATCAAATAATATGTCATGCACTAAACAGTCATATTGTAGCGTTTTTTTATTTATTGTGTATATAAAATATTTCTATGGTACGTCCCTGTTGTTTCTACCAAGAAATCGATCAATAAAGTTAAATGTAGGTACGTTGTAAATATTTCAAGTTTTTTTTGACGAGATTTTTAAATGCGTATTAACGTTGGAAATATGTTTTTATCTCTGTGTTGCAATGTTAGATAAAATAACGAGTTTTTTGTCGCCAAAGAGGTATTATGTTAAAACGCAATAAACTATGAATTCCCCTAATATTAAAGTTGTTTTTCGTTATTAGTCGAGGGTCAAAAAAAGAATATTTGTTTGTTTAGGCAATAAAGGAATATTTAAAAGATTTGAAACGGAGTCGAGATTTAGATTTCAAACAGGGCAGACATGTGACAATGAGGTCGAGATTTAGATTCCAAGCGGGGCAGACATGTGATAAAGAGTCGAGTTTTGAGTTCCAAACAGGGCAGACATGTGATAAAGAGTCGAGATTTAGATTCCAAGCGGGGCAGACATGTGATAAGGGTCGAGATTTAAGTTCCAAGCGGGGCAGACATGTGGGAATGGAGTAAAAGATTTGAGAGGAAGTGATGAAGAACTTCTCGAAGAAAAAAGTCGTTTAATTGTGATGTTGTAAGCCGGCATTCATTCGCCAAAATGGTGGAATTTTCACTCTAAGTAATATGTCGTTTCTGAAAGAGTGACCAGTAACCACTGTTTTTATTTTGGCTGAAGATTTATGATGTTTGAGCAGTGAACAAGTTTAGTTCCTGTTTGTTTTTCGTTTTTTTGAGAAATCCAGTTCCTTCCCGAGATGCCCTTTTCACCTCATGTAGAATAATATTGGAGCAGTTTTGATTTGGATGTGCCAGTTTCAGCTTCCAATAAAGCTTTCCGTTGATGTGCAGTTAGATACTCCGCAGAAGTTAGCCAGTTGTTCAAAAGTTTAAGTTAAGATGTGTGAACTGAGGTAACATTTACGTTATTAATTTTTAAAGTAAAAATAGACATTTTCTTTTAAAAAAGACAAAATTTGCTTTCTTTTATAAATTATTTTTTAAATTATTTACTAGGAACCGTTTCGAAGAGTTTTGTAACCTTTTGTAAACAGATATGTAAGTTTTTTTTTTATTTGTATTTGACAGCTAATTTTATTTAATATGCCTTTGTATAAGCTGTATTTTTGAAAACTGTTTGGTGAGACAAAAATAAATGTTTAATTTGTTTCTCTGATCTATTTTGAGTTTTATTTGAAAAAGATATTTTTTTTCTATATTTTTGATGTTATACAATTATTTCCCTAGTTACAACTAGTGGTTGTAATAGGTATAATTGGGCACCTCAAGTGGCGCCCTATATTAAATTTCTTGAGGTGTTTCCGTTAATTTTCATTCTGTTTGTCCCAAGAGATTTGTATAAGTACCTTTTATTTCTTTTTTTTTGTAGTTACCCCAATCTAACCCCCAATATCTTCAACTTATCCACGACCCAGCTCTCCAACAACCAACTGAGTGTCCGTTCGCACTTGTTTCGATTATTTTGTTTGCCCAATCTTGTCCCCCATATTCTTACCCTGTGGTAAGCAAAATAGTCGTTACAATTTTGGCGCCCAACGCGAGTGGCATGAATTAGGTTGGCGCTAATTGTATCTATCGTTACAATTTTTAGCGCCCAACGTGTGCGGCTTGTCTTAGATTTGCGCCAATTGTACCTGTCGTTACAAGTTTGGCGCCCCCAACGTGTGGCAATTTTTAGATTTTTGATCCTTTTCCTGAAGCCACATATCTTTTTCAGTTTCCCCAGTTCCCTGCCATTTATATGAAACTTTTTTCCTTTTGAATAGTGCCCCAAAGTGTCTCACAAACAGTAGTGTATTTGTATTACAATGTATGTATTTTATACCAACATTATGTATTGTTGTTTTTTCAGGTAATGTACTTATAGTGACATATGTATTGTTCTTCATATATGTAATGGTAAATGAAAGCAAATATTTGAGTTAAATATTTAAATATGAGTTTTAATTGAGGTATTGATATTGAAAAGAATTTAAAAACAGTAGCAAATTATACAGTTACTGTTACATTTATTTTTTTATTGATTCGACAAATTTTACAGAATAATCGGTTTTTGTAATTTTTTATTTGTTGGGTCATTTTGAGTAAATGTGTGTATTCGTTTGAGTGACTTTTGAGCTATGTAGTTGAGAAGTAGTATTATGCAGTTTGTCTTCTAATTAACCGTCTCTGAAGGTGTATTTAAATGCCAAGGGTTAATTAATGTTGTTGTACGAGGGGTAGTCATTGTGAGTCGTAGAGAAGATTCGACAAGTTTAGTCTCAGTAGTAGACTGTTTATTGTGTATCCTTTCTTGTATCTGAATGACCACAGGTGTAATATTTGTGATCAGGAGATGCTGTTTTAGTTTTGACTAGGAGCAGTCTCATTTAGTTTTCGGAACAAGAGTTGGTTTATTTTGGTGTTATTTAGTGTAGCTCACTCAAAGGTCAAGTTTTCAATATTATTAGTATTTTGTCTTTCCTTGTATGTACGGTTTATGTTGTTTGTTAGTGTCCATGTTGTCTCATGTTATTTGAAACCATTTTTTTTAGTCCTTGTTAGTGGAAGTGTGAACTTTTAGGAGACAGGTTATAGACCTCATTTTTATTTACCAACTGATTACTAGGTCAAGAGCAGAAGTTGCAGCAAACTGATTGAGTTTTGGATTTCAGTACGCGGGAGTGCAAGTGAGACTTACTATCAGGTGATAAATGGAAACGGTTGTTTCTTAAAATTGTCATATTTTCTACTTGTTGTTGAGGTTGATTTCAGTTATTTTGTGTTTGCTTTCATCCAATTTTTGAAAAATGAAGTCTACCCAGGTTAATTATTTGAAAGAGAGTTATCTTATGAGCTTTTCATAAGAGGTAAAAATGTCCCAAATAAGACAGTTGATGATAGGAGAAAGATGTTAAGAGCTTTGTTGGCCAAGGAGGCCACTTCGTCTTCAAGTTTAGTCGATTTGGTTAATAATGTAGTAGATCCTAAGGAAGAGTTAAATGAGATCATGTTGATTAAAAAAGATTTATATAGTATTGCTCAATCAA